TCTGCTCCAATGAAGCGTTGGCTGTAGGCTAGAGGGCTTGAGAGTTGGTGTGTGCCCAAATCTCTCCACTTAAAATTATATTGGCAAATAAGCATTCTTTGGAGCTCCAAATGTCACTGGGGCTAACGTACAGGAGAATGAAGAGATCCCCACATTCTGAACCAATGCCCTTAGCCATCAAAACATAACAAATTATGCTTCATTTACTAGGAAGATTTCATTCGAGATTCCTAGCTTGTGTTTTCTGACTGAGAGATTGAACGTTCCATAATAAAGAATAGATGGATTATGATTAAACATAAACTGAAATTGAGAGCATACATGAAAAATCATAGACATATCAGCTGTGAGGAAAAAATTATTGGGGATTTCGGACCGGTGATGTACTGATAATTGCTTATAAGAGGCTAAGCACACTGACATAATATTTAACGTCGTTCGACAAATCGCCTACATCCATAGGAGAGTTGATATTATTAGAGATAGAGAAATGATACAAAACAAATACATAGAGAAGAAGGATCATATCTACTCTAACTCAACTCTCAACTTTCTTGTTGCACTTGCAGTTGCTGCAATGGTAGTAAGGCTGTTGTCATTGCAACCCTTCAATTTCTCTCTTGGTCTCTCTATTCACACTCACCATTTTTTTATTTTGCTATCAAATAATGCTTTTATTTATAGGTATCAATGATAAGATAAGATCCACAAATCATGGCATGATTGATGACACTAATGGTGGCAGCACATGAGTTGCACCATTTTATCAATGGTTGGTGCAACTTGGCTACACACCTACCATTGTAGGCTTTTGACAATGGCAACCCTACTTCTTAGAGTAGGCTGCAAATGCCTACTTCTTAGGGTAGGCTGCAAATGATTACTGCACATTAATGGCAACAATCCTAACAATCACTCTCTTTGCCATTCATGTGGGCAATTGTCTTCTTGCTTCTTCAACACATGCTTGCATCCTATAGCTTTTCCAAGCTTACCATTTCGAGAGCATCTTTGGCCAAGTTTACAGGTACTCGCCAAACCTTTCAATTACCAGAGTTACCAAAGCACACCCTTGCTCACACCAAAGGATCACTTTAACCAGATGGTCTCCCACATCACATCTGAAGAGTGTTAACGCTTATCTCTGAAACAACATTCCCCTTCAAGCATATCAACCATGCTTAGTCTATAATGATTTTTCAAGCCTTACACCAAGGCTTACAACACTCCCTCAAACGAAAATTTATATTCCAAGTGCGACAATCATTATCTGAGTATCTCAATATGATCACGAGCTCACCACTCCTCCAAGAGTCTACTCATTCCAGAGTTGCGTCTGCCCTCTGTTCCACCCTAGGAACAACGTCTTACTTCTCCATGAGTCTCTTGCTCTTAGTCCAAGAATCCACGTAACTCTCCACCTTTAACCATGAGGGTAACCCATTAAAGGTCGATCCATATCTATCTCCATATTCTGAGTATTACAATGTCATTACCGAGCTCACCACCTTGACAAAAGTCAACTTGTTCCAGGAACTTGCGCATGCCCTCTGCTTCTACATAGAATTTGTGTCTTAATGCTCCACAAGTCACCCATTTATTATCCAAGGCAGATGTCTTCTAGCTCATTGATCTTTAGTATGGGGGCAATATCTATTAAAGTCAATCCTGTATTTATCTCCATACTCATCATAGCCACTTCATTGACTATCCATATGTCCACTTATATCTAGCCATCACATTGGCTCTAGGACGTTCTGTAATTGGGGCTCCTATCATGGCCCTCACACCTTCTCCTAAGGTGTCTCCGCTCGTCGTCATGCGATAGTCTGATCTTGGGCTCATCTCATTGCTCTCATACCTTTTCTTTAAGGTGTCTTTGCTTTTCATAAGCAGTCGCATCCTTCTTCAGCTGGGATGCTTCAAAGTGGTTTCAAAAATTCTCAACCATCATGTGGACTATAGGAGAGATCACTGCCACTGATCATATAAAAAGAGAGAGTTGCGGTACACTCCTTACAATTGTCCATCTCGATTTTTATATTTGGAGCTTCTATGCCTTTCTTCTTGACAGCTCCACCCACACAAACTTCCTTTGGTGTCTTCACCTTTTATCATAGGCGATCGCACCCCCTCAATTAGTTGCTTCTGCAATAACTTATCTTTCCATCCTTGCATGCATTAGAAATGTCCTTACTTGTTACCTTTATCAACAGCACAAGAGACTTCCTCTTGTACAACTTTTCATAGTCTCTGCTTTAAGCTTCATCTGAGAACACTTCTTCTCTATGCACCTGTCTTCTTATTATGGCACCTCGTTGGATCCTATGGGTACTCTTGCATAATTTTTGTGTGCTCTCATGCAATTTTTATTCTCTAGATTCTCCATATTTCTTGCTTATGTTTAACAGCAACTCATCCTGTCACAACACCTATCCAAGTCAAAATAGGGTGTCAATCTTTATCCCATTGTTGTATTTCTTTTTTATTATCAGGGTCTTTATCAATTCTCCCCTCGAGAAATTACAGTCATCAAATCTAACTTCTTTGGAGAAATCACCACTCCATCAGATCCTTGATCATACGGAACCTAACTATTTCTTTGTGTCATCATCTTGCTAGTCTTCAACAATTTCTTTACAAACTGTTACATATACAAAAATAGTACCGTATGGATAATCCCTCAACTAAGCAAGTTTCCAGGAAAGATTGGAGGGGTCACATCGATCCTGCTTAAAACTCAATCTCCTAGCCATAATTTCTTAGGCTATATCTATCTGTTGTACTGTCTTTCCATATATACAACCATTTATTAGCTTTGTTACGACTTTTCTTTACAAGTGATCTAGGGTATCCTGGTTTTATACCTGATTTCTCAACATCTGGTGAGACTACTAGTGTTTAGATTCGTTAAGATTGGTCTTCATCAATTTCTACTATCCACCTTAAATTGTCCACATGATTGGGTGTCTAGAATGTCCTAATTTTGCCTTCCCTCAAGACAATTAAAATTTCCCCACATAGTAGTTCAACACATATAATTGGGTAAACATATGCAATTTCTTCTTCTTTTTCTTCATCTACATCGACCACCATGATGACCTTTAGATGCCTCCTTATCGGGCAATCTCTCTCAATAATTCACCACCATCACTTTCAATCATAAATCTCAACAATCAGACCATACCATTGTATCCAGAACGATCAAATTATCTAGAAACAAGTTTGAAATCGTCCAAATCGCATTTCAGATGGCTAAGATTTGATCAAAATAATTATAACTTGATAAACGACCCATATTCAATCTCAAATCCGATTGCATGTAGACTCCGCTACATAGAATCCTATCCCTCGGCTCGACTCCAACTCTCTCGGCTCACTCAACTCATAGATGATGATGTGGCAGATGGGTCCCACTATGCTGACGTGTCTGCTGACATAGCATGCCACCTGTGCATGATAATGCCATACTGACATCATGATGACATCATCATTATCCAGGTTAGGTATATAGGTCGGGTCATCTGGTATTCGGGTTGGGTCAGCCCATCTGGGTGAAGAAGACGCGTGCAACGCGTGGCGTGCGTCTGTGCATGTGGCCAGCCACCTTGCCGGCAAGTGACAGTGCATGAGGATGATTCTAACGTCCAATTTTGACGTGGTTTTCACCAGTAACTTTTTCTCTTTCTCCTCTACACAACGGTTGATCAAAATATAATTTTAACAACTTTTATTTTTGAGCAAAATCAAACATCATTTTAAACTATATGCTCTTATATCAATTATTGGGGATTTTGGACCGATGATGTACTGAGAGTTGCTCATAGGAGGCTAAGCACACTGACAAAATATTTAACGTGGTTTGACAAATCATCTACATCTAAGGGAAAGTCGATATCATTAGAAATAGAGAAAGGATACAAAACAAATACATGAAGGAGGAGGATTATATCCACTCTAACTCAATTCTCAACTCTTTTATTGCACTTATAGCTGTTGCAATTATATCAAAGCTACTATCATTGCAGTCCTTCACTTTCTCTCTTGATCTCTTTATTCACTCTCTCATTTTGATCTCAAATAATGCTTTTATCATCAATGGTAAGATAAAATCCACAAATCATAGCATTATTGGTGGCACTAATGATGACAGCACATAAATTGCATCATTTTGTCAATGGTTGGTGCAACTTGACTATATACCTATTATTATAGGCTTTTAACAATAATAACCCTACTTCTTAGAGCAGGCTGTAAATGATTGCTGGACATTACTAGCAACAATCCTAACAAAAATGCCACTGCCTTGTGATACTACTACATTCATATCCAGGAAGTCATCATAAAGGAAAATAAAAAATTACTCACAGGGATGTCCTAACAATCTCAGGTTTACTGTATGGTGAGTGAAAGATTATAGGATGTAACAGAAAACTAAAAGATAATCGTGTTTACAGTCACTTCCGTAACACAACGCAGCTTAAGTAAAGGTTCAAGTCTTCGAAGTTGATTGAGGGGATTTATTAGAGCCTTCCTGTACCTACGAAGGATCAAAATATTTGCCTGCCACTTTATATGCTGCCTGGCTTGTGACTTCGTTTGCCCCTGCTTCCATACTCGTCTCACTGTCACTCCTCTTTCTGGAATTTGAACTTTTCTTCTCCCCTCATGGTCTTTCACTTTCATCTCCCTTTTCTTCTCCCTCATGGTGTCATTTCCTTTATTTGGCTGGGTTTAGCATTTGGTTGTGGAAACAATGGAGGTTCCTGGCCACTCAATCGACAACACCCTCTTTCAACTGTTTCACTTTTTTCTGTCGCCAATCCACTACATCACAGCCCGCCGGAGCAGACTCTGTGTTATTTCTCATGAAGGGTTGATTCTATGAGGATTCACCTGGCTATAGAGGCTGCAACTTGCCTTTACACCAACATATTATGATATATATTATGGCCAGGGGATACATGGCAGTGGTAGTTACACCCAACTCATTAGCGAATGACGGCGAAGGTGATACTGATGCTTTAAGCAATGCCTAGAAACCCTTCGGAGTCTGCAGACTTCCATGACAAGATAGGGTATGCAATGTAAAGCCATTTAATTAGGTGGCATAATTGATGGGATTTGAGTGGGAGATGAGTTGTAATTGGTGGAGTATGAGTGGAGGATGAGTTGTTAGGCATATATTCCTCCTAAATTTATGACCATTATACCCTCACTCTTGCCTATAAATAGGCAATACATTCAAGCCTATATGCACACCAAAATAGAGAGAAGAAGAAGAGAGTGAAGAGAGAGTAATCCCACAAAATTGTGAGGTATTTGTGATAGAGTAAGTGCGGTGTTTTCTCCTAATAATAGAGAGATTCTTAGTTGTTCTCCTATTATTCGAGAGAGGTTGTAATTCCCATATTACTTAGTAAAATCCTTCTATACTTGTCTGTGGACGTAACCCAATTGGGTGAACCACGTAAATTCTTGTGTGTTCCATTTCTCATTTTATCCGGCCTCTTATCTTTTATCTTGTCGGGTTTGCATGCCAGCATCCTAACATGCAATGTCTTTGAGCCCGCTTGCCCCCATGCAAGGGGATGTATTCTTTCAAGAATTGGAAAAAGGAATGATTTTCCTCTATGGATTTGATTTAACGAAGAATAAAGTTTCAATCTTTAAGGGTTTACTGAAGACCAAAAGAAGTGTCAACAGTCCTCATAAGACATTCTTTTATTGTGCATAAAGGCACACTGGTGGTACAAATCTTTTTAACTAACAAAACACACACAAAGCCCTTCTCTTCACCTCTGAGTCCCCCTTCTTCCTTCCCTCAAAACCCTTCTTTAGACTCACCAAAATCCCGAGAGTGTCTTCATAAATGGAGCTTTCGTGGCCACATATGTCCGCCAGCTGGCATTTTCTTCTTACGTCAGTATCTCTAAGACATCTTAAACTTAGGACAGGCATTTCAATAATTAAAGTTGACTTCTACTCTGGTTGTTTCTGCGCGTGGTTTTATTTGACTGTGTGAAATTTTTTTCTTAAGAAACAAAGAATAATAAATAAAAAAAGGCAATACCCTAAGATGAGCGAAATATACAGAATTTATTCATGTAAGAATATATAGAATAACTTTGAAGACAAGCGTGTTTTGGACATGATTTTTTCTATTTTTCTATAGATGGAAATAACTATAATTTGGACGCTTGTTTCTTCAATTCTTTTCAGAAAAACTAATTTAAGTATAAACAATAACCAAAAAATATAACATATAAAAGTTTTCATTTTTAAGTTTCTTTAATGCCTTGTATTATTGATATTATCAACATAATTTGACAATTCAACCCACGTGACTAAAAAGTGCAATGCCATAGTCAATGTGAAAAATTGCAGGGAGAGCTGGTAGCAACAATATGATCAAAGAAAGCATTCGTATACTTGTTGAATTCACAAGGGATTTCTTCTTTGTTTTCATCCCTCGTTCTCTGGTTCATTCTCAGTTACATTTCTTACACCCATAATCGCACAAATTAGAGAGGATGTGTGTTAAGACAAAGCCATGTTTCTGGCTCTTTGTGCTTTTGTTGCTATTCGTTTACCATAGGACTTGCTTCTCAATTGGAGATGACATCCTTTTGGTTGGCCAATCTCTCTCTGCAAACCAAACTCTAATATCTCAAAACGGCATTTTTTAACTCGGTTTCTTCAAGCCAGGCGCTTCTTTAAGCATTTACCTGTGAATATCGTATAAGAACTTCGCAACTAAGACGATTGTTTGGGTAGCAAATAGGGAGAGTCCTTCCAACAACCCTGCTTCATCGAAGCTTGAATTGTTATCTGATGGCAATCTTGTCCTGCTGCAACATTTCACCGAAACAGTTTGGTCAACAGCTCTTGCATCTTCAGTGCCGAATACTAGTAAAGCAGAAGAAGTAATTCGTGATGATGGAAACTTTTCGTAAGAGATGGCTCAAATCCATCTACCATATACTGGCAGAGTTTTGATTATCCAACTGACACATGGCTACCTGGTGGAAAGCTTGGGATCAACAAGCACACTGGGCACGTGCATCGGCTTATTTCCTGGAAAAACCCAGAAGATCCTGCACCAGGTATGTTCTCGATTGGGATCGACCCAAATGGAAGTAGTCAGTTTTTCATAGATTGGAACAGGTCACACAGGTATTGGAGCAGTGGTGATTGGAATGGAGAAAGATTTGCCTTGGTACCTGAGATGAGATTGAACTATATTCAATTATAGTTATGTATCAAATGAAAATGAAAGCTATTTCACCTATTCTTTGTACAATTCCTCAATTCTTTCAAGAACCGTGATTGGTGTTTCAGGACAGATCAGACAGCTCACTTGGTTGGAAGGTGTTTGGAATTGGTTTCTTTTTTGGTCTCAACCAAAATACCAAGCTGATGTTTATGGTTTATGCGGGGCTTTTGGAGTCTTTCATGTAAATTCATCACCTCCTTGTGGATGTCTCAGAGGTTTTGGACCATTTGTACAAAATGATTGGTCAAGTGCTTGCCTTTGGATGTCTCCTTTGTCAACATAGGAAAAATATTGCGGTGTCAAATGATGGGTTTTTAAAGATGTCGAATCTAACATTACCAGGAAATTCAAAAGCATATCAGAAAGTGAGTTATGAAAGATGCAAATTGGATTGCATTGAAAATTGTTCTTGCATGGCTTATGCCTATAATGATAATAATGGTGAGTGTCTTTTATGGGATGGAGCTCTTATAAACTTACAACAGGCAGAGGTTGCTGGTGGCAGGACTGAAGCTGAAATTTACATCAGATTTGCTGCTTCTGAGCTTGAACTTGAGACTGGTAGTGGGAGTAGCCGAATAGGTGTGGTAAGAAGGTTGTATCTATATAGCCATAAATGATCCAATAAATGTTGAGCAACTATTTTTCACAAAATAAGGAGTACACTTTCAGATAAAAGGGTGGACGCAATGTCCCTACATAACCTATCTTTCCATTTTTTTCTACTTCAAAAAAAACTTTTAATTGTAATTATGTTGGTTTATGATTTGGTTAATATTTGATCTATGTTTACAAGTAGGTAATATCAGAAAGACAATAAGGGTAACCTTTTCTGTGGCTGTTCCAGTAACTCTGGTTACCTTGGGCCTCTACATATACTTCAGCTGTCTGCGCAAGGGAAAGCTCATACACAAAGGTACATCCTGTTCTTGCTTTAATTTCTGCTGTCTCCGAGTAGACTTAATTAACCCTTAAGTTATAGTGATGAGAAGTAAGAAAAAGCCCTGCTTTGTGATTATGCGTTAGCTATGCAGATAATAAGATTCATTTTGTTGGAGTTAGTTGTGTGTGTGTGTGTGTGTGTTGAAATAGAGACTGTTTTGTGTAAGAATTTCACTGAAATATGTATATATGATATTCATTTACTTGTTTCCCTTAAAATTTACCGTCTATCATTAAACTTAAAGTAATTTTCACCTTAAAAATTTCTGTAAAATATTTTACAAACACTGATCTACTCACAATATCATGCAATGATTTCAACCACCACTACCTTGCTGCCAGGACCTCCACTGTAACTACTGCCGCGGTGTCTGCTACCATCCTTGTTGCACTTGCCGCCATCACCATACCACAATTATCACCACCACCACCACCCCTCCATCCCCACCTGAACCTTTATTACCACTATAACCATAATCAGTAATCACTATCACAACCATCTCATCACCATAAAACATTGTAATCATTCTAATATCGTTGTATTTGTTATATCAATTACATACCAAGCTCAGTAAAATTTTATCCATATAAAGTAAAATGTTAAAATATTTTACGCCAAGCAAACACCAAATTTTCTTATTCATGAAAACAATTGATATTTAGAATACCTTTTAATTTAATTTAATGTTTGAAATTGTACATTTTTGCTTGATATTATCAGAATTGCTGGATATTTCAACAAAGTGATTGTGTTCAGTAATTTTTAATTTTTTCTTCAACAGGGAAGGAATATACAGGTCACGATTTATTTCTCTTTGATTTTGATACAGATCCTAGCTCAACTAACAATGAATCTAGCTCTGTTGACAACAGGAAGAAAAGATGGAGTAAAAATATGGAATTGCCATTATTCAGTTATGAGAGCGTATCAGTTGCAACTGAACATTTCTCAGACAAGCTTGGAGAGGGAGGATTTGGACCTGTTTATAAGGTAAGTTAGGTTCAAATGATTATTCTAACCTTTTCAGAAAAAAAATTAAAATAGTTTGAATGAACTTTCAGAATTACTCTTGGTTCATTTAATAGGGCAAATTACCTAAGGGACTGGAAATAGTAGTGAAGAGGCTTTCAGAAAGATCTGGGCACGGGCTTGAGGACTCAGAAATGAGACAATTCTAATCGCCAAACTCCAGCACCGGAATCTTGTCAGGCTATTAGGTTCCTGTATTGAACAGGATGAGAAAATGCTCATCTATGAGTATATGCCAAATAAAAGCTTGGATTTCTTTCTCTTTGGTCAGCATTTTCTTGCATTAACTTTCCAAATGCTTCAAGAAATTTATAACAGATTTGTGTATAAAATATAAACAGATGCAAATAGAGGACTAATCTTAGATAGGGGTACATGGATTCGGATAATCGAAGGAATTGCTCAAGGCCTTCTGTATCTATATAGATATTCACGGTTACGAATCATTCACAGGGATTTAAAACCTAGCAACATTCTTTTAGACAGTGAAATGAATGAAAAAATATCTGATTTCAGGATGGCTCGAATTTTCGGAGGCAATTAAACTTAAGCACACACCAACAGGATCGTTGGAACATAGTAAGTTTCTTGAATTCCGCTTTCCAGTACCAGCTACTCTTAACATGATCTGCACTGACCTTTCCAGTTGTTAGTGGCTATATGTCCCCTGAATATGCTATGGAGGGCCTCTTCTCAAAAAAATCTGATGTGTTTAGCTTTGGGTGCTGGTACTTGAGATTGTAAGCTGCAAGAAGAATACTAGTTTCTATCAAAGCGACTCCCTCAATCTTCTTGGACATGTGGGGAGCTTTCATATACGCTCATTTCTTTTTCTTCCAGCTTGATTTGTATTTGACTACTTTCCTAGTCTCCACACTAATGATGCAGCATATGTGTTGTTATACCATAGGCATGGAAGTTAATAAAGCTTTGGACTTGATGGATCCAAGCCTGGGAGATCCTCCTTCAACTTCTATGCTGTTGAGATACATAAACATAGGACTTCTTTGTGTCCAAGAAAGTCCTGCTGATCGGCCTACAATGTCTGATGTCATCCCATGATTGTGATTGAACACGTAGCTCTCCCAGAACTTAAGCAGCATGCTTTTTGTTGCAGGCAGAACCAAGGTCATTGATGAGCTTTGCTGGCGTACCTTCCGGGAATAATGTGACAATAACAACGATGGATGCCAGATAATTTTCTCTTTCGATACCAAGATGTCATTGGATTTATAATGATAAGACTACTCCAATTCCAATGCGTGGTGGGATTCGGCTTTTTTCTTGTTCTTTTTCTTTTTTTCATCAAGAGGTTTATATTAGAAATTGTTCCATTTTGTCTGTTTAGTATATTATTTTTTTTATCAAATACTTAGAAATTTAAGTCAAAGGCTATTGATACCAATTTGACTACTTTATGGATCCCATTAATC